TTGCCTCTTGCAACTCTTTAAAGAAGATAATTTAAAAATATATAAAAGCTTTGATATTTTTCTAGAAACAGAAGCTCTGATTCTGTGAATGAAGTAATGGTCTAAAACTTTGACAGTAGCGAAATATTGGATCCTAATATTACCTTTCATCACAGGCAGAGATGGCACTTTTAGAAATTGTTTAATTATTGTAAACATTCATTTATGTCTCAAGTGTAACTGGCATTAAAACTTCTTTTGCCTCAACTTGAATGTACAGTATACTGTAGATTTTTAACAAAACAGCTTCTATATTTATTGTGTGATTTGAAAATACCTCTTTGATATTTCAGATGACTTAAAGTGCAAAATCTTTATATATTTGTAAATAGGCAAAGTGATTATCCTGAGAAACCATGAAATGAAACACATGCATACATAATATTATTTTACATGGCATTTTAAATTGTTTTATAGTGTTACTCAGTTTACAGATGCATTAGGACTTTCAATGGTTCAGTCAGGAACCAAATTATTTCAAATGTGAACAATAAATGTGTAATTCTATTCTAAGAAACCCTGGTTCTGTGTTTTGTGTGCACTAAACTTTTAAGCTATCATGGTTGTAGGACTGTACACTATGTCAACAAATCAGATGCTGGTTTTGTATTTCGATAGTTTTTTTCCTTTGAATTGAATCCAGAATCTTTTTTGGTGTATCCTTTTAGAAATCTGTTTTGTTTTATCATGTAGTAAAAATAGCCAAGTAGAGGTAAGATGTTTCAAAGTCTCCTTCACATGACTCAGAGCATGCACTTCCCCTTGCCCATTACAAATCCATCTCCTCTCATTGGGTTTTCATGTGTCTGAACATGTGTGTGCTCTGATCCTGGTGTAACTGACCTTTTGGAAGATGTCTAAGAAACTTCTGCCTTTCTCAGGGTCATGGGAAGGAAATTAAGTCTGAAGCCTAGAATCGTTCACTGAACATGCATTGCTGCTCTGCTGGCTATCTTCAGAACTGGATGTAATGGAGTGATTGGACTACCTGGAAAAATAGCAATAGAGTAAGACAGGAAAGAGAAGAAACTGGAGTTCTTCAAGAAGCTAGGACAGAAAACTGCAGCTTCTGCTGATTAGTTCAATACATTGAGTTACAGCTTGAGATGAAGTAGTAGCCAATGCAAACTGCAGAGGATACTTGTAGAATGTCTTCACATAGCACCCTTTAAGGAAGCAGAAATGTAGATAATTAAATTCTTGGTCAGCTTTTTGTTCCATAGGTAGTCAGGTTGGAAAGACAATACAAATAACATCATATTTCTTTTTCCAACTCCCCCTCAATAAACGGGTGATCATAGTCATGTCATCTGCTGAAAGGGTTTAGCAGTGTATGGTTACTCTTGGGCTTACACCTTCCCCACAATGTGTTGGACAGCTCTTGCCTGAATTTTGGTTAGGGAAGAGTAAGTATGCATATTCAAGAAACATATTTAGAGATGCAAAGTGAAAAATTTAATATATAGTCAATGAAGTGGGAGAGCAGTACTTTACCTGTAGGATTCTTGTTTTCAAGCTAGTCAGTTATCCCAGGCCTGTAAGTCCATAGCTGAGGCAAGATCAATATACCACTAGGGGCTGCTGCTCTGCTGGAGTAATTGAGGTGTCCTCGCTGGTGCTCGATTGGGGCATTTAAATGCATTCAGTTTAGATGGACTTTTTTACTAGACAGTTTTTCTTCAATGATGGTAATTTTTAGGATAGTAATGCCTTTGAAAAACAAAAGTATGTACCTATTTAATCTTTTGTTTGTGCCTGTTGAATGATTAGCAATTAATAAACATTTGTACTAATTTTTTTGCTTTAACATCCTGTAACCCATCTTATAGAAGTAGAAATTCATTTGAATGCCTCCATGGAAGGACTGACTCTGCTAGAAGTGTGTATGCAGTTGAGTCCTGAGCAGACTTCTTAGACCTGGTCTGGAAGTTGGGGGTATAGATTCAGTCTTGTCCCTGTAAAGAAAGAAAAAACGCCTAGAGTTTTTGGATTCCTGATTGCTGCATAGAGAGCAAGCTTTTAAATCTGAAGCTACTGTCAATAATGGTATGAATACTGCACATGGTCTGGTTGGTAGCATAGTGGCACTGTAATAATTCACTGTGTTGGAAACAACTTCAGGATCTTTCTTACTTGGAGACTGAAGAGCAAAGGGTGAGACTCCTTGCAGGAATGTAATACAGGTGTGTCACTACACAGGTGTGTATGTGAGATAATAGAGCAAGTGGCCCTCCTTGAGAAGGAACAAGAAGTACTGACTACCAGTGACTGATTAGCATATGGTTATTGTTGGCTACCTGTGCATGATACTGAAAAGATGAGTGGTTCTCTTAAACTATGGTGTTTTATTTCACAAAATACTTGAATATAATATGCATTGCTGCTTTTTTCAGTCTACATGATGAGAGAGTGCTTTTACCATAAATATGTCTGATTAGGTATGAGAACTTACTTTCCTAGGGTTACATTACAGCTGTTAATTTTTTTCCATTTCATCCCCAGCGGTAGATGATGCTACAATATAGCTTTTGCAAAACAGACTGTATAGCAAAAAATTAATAAATTAAGACTTTACGTAAGAAAACTTTCTCCCTACAAGAACTGCTTTCACCAGCTTCTGCAGACTTGCTCTATTTCTATTTAGTTGTAGCAGGACAAAAATATTCCCATATGTATGAAAAAACCAGGTCATATCCTAGCTTTTTCTCAGGGATTATTCTACGTACACTTCAACTGGGCCAAGATAACTAATAAATCCCCAAGATAGTATCAATTTAAACAAGTTATTCTTGAAAGGAAAAAAAAGACATATTTACAGGGTAAAGGAAATGCTGTGTACATTGAACTAGTTTAGCTAATACCTGTGCTGCTTTTTTTTAATTTGGAGTTGCCACAAGGCTTTTGTGTGTGGAGACATGTAAGACACCTTGCTTTTACTTTCCTCCCCTCTACACCCCCCATCTAATTTGCAAGAAGGTAGATGACAAGATATGAAGTGTTGATACAGCTGGATCCAGAAACTGATCCCAAAAGGAATGTTCAAATTATCTGATGATTTATTTATTGTTTTCAGACAAAGATGACTGACCTCTAATGTTCACTATGCCCAGCAAAGTTGCACTGTAATTAAAAAAAAAATAACAATAATTAAAAAAATCCCATTGTATACATTGTGCTGTAGTTTTCACACTGACGCAGTAGTCATGTTCCTTTATTCGAGTTTTGAGTTGTACAAGACCCTACAACTAGCTGGAATGCAAAACAGGTAAGTTTAATTTTTTCATTGTTGAACATTTCTCTAAAACAATTACAATTGTATGGAAGAGCTTGCCAGCATCACAGTGAAAAGTTGGCACAACTTTTTGTTTTGTCAAAAAAGGCACAAAGCATGCTTGTTCCTTTGAACATAATAATAAATGGATAATCATGAAAAGGAGACACTTCTTGCTGATGTCCCCCCTCAAAATGTAGTCTGCAGTAAGCTGGATGGCAGTTCCCAAAATAGAGGTTGCACAACCCCAGGTGGATTTGCAGCCCAGATGAAATCCGTTTGAAAAAGTCAAGACTTGTGGGACTGACAACCCAGGAAGAACAGTTGCTAGTGTAGAAACTGCTGGAATAGAAAATAAATGTTCATCTGTGGTTGTTAAAATAGTGTTTGCCACAAATCACACTCCTGTGGTTAGTCTTATAACCATAGGTATTGTGGGAACAGAAATAAAGTGACTGAAGAACCGGTATGTCGTAGATGTTGAATTAGAATCAGATTCACATTTTTTGTGTGACTTAAAGCCCATGGTTTATTGCGTTGCCTGAAGTTACCCCTCTGGAAACACCCTCCTGTGCATTTTTCTTGCCTTTTTTTGTTGATCCAGCTGCCACCCAGCTCACTTTGCGAGACTGTGTAACTTTTTAGGGGGCTTGACCAGAACTCATTCCTCCCTTTTTGTGATTATCACTCTACTACCATGCTCAAAAAGGGGCAAGCGTGTTTTGTGCATCCCCGCTCGCCTCCATGCCCCCGCCGAACATCTGTGTGACTGCATTCCTGGGCTGTCAGTGTAAATGGGTGATGAAGCTGGCTGCGAGCCTACATCAGTTCAGGTACTTGGCTGCATTTTGTATTTGGCTCCTTAGGAAATGCAAAAGTTCTAGCTGACCTGCACTCCCGTTCCCCCTACTTCACTGCGAAGAGTCTCTGCGGGTTTTAATTGTTCACATTTAGCTGTCATTTACCTTGGAAGATAAAATATTTACAGATTGCTTATGAAATCTTTGTTCATTTAAAAAATATTCCTGGTCAGTGTGACCGGAGCTGAAAGGACACACTGAGCCTCTGATTTAATTAAATAAATATATATATTCCATGTATATGGGTTTTCAGTAGGCTGTTAAATGTGCTTTTGTGCACATATGAATATAAGAATAGCCAAGGGTTTAGCTGTCCTCATCTCCTGTCTACAGGGGTGGCTGTAAACCTGAGGGCTGATGGGGGAGAAAGAACACCCTTAACGTGTGTGACGCTGACTCTACTTTGTTAATTGGGCCACTATCAGTTAGGTAACAGTTTGGGTCAGATGCCAGGTCAACATAACCTGGGCAAAATCAACCTAATCTGTGGCAGCACCAAATACCAGCAGCCAGCCGTGACACAATCTAGGCAATTAAGTAATGTGTTTATTGTAAATTTATTGTCAACGGCTTAGTAAAATTGTTTTACGAGGATATGTAGAAACTTTTGAACAATCTAGCAAAGCGTTTATATAAGCAAATCAGTGGGGATGCCAAGGTATGACTTGATTTCCGTTATTCCATCTGAAGAGAAAGTATGATTGCAAAAAGGGAAGTGTTTACATAAACTGATAAAAAACTTGAGAATTCAGCAGAACATAGCCACGTGTTCCTGAGCTTTCTTCCATAAAAGTCTCACCATGTCTGGCAGAGTCTCATTCACCTTCACTATGAGGGGAATCGTACTTGCACTAGCGCTGACCCTTGTAGGTAAGCCTACATATCCCTCCTCCATCTCTTTTTCCCAAAACTTCCAGTGGCAGCAATTGTATCTAGATAGAATGTTACTCATCTGGTTTTCCATCTGTTTTTGCAGGTAGCCAGAAGTTTGACATTGGTAAGTAAATTTCCTTCTATAACCTCCTTTCGGTGACTTTGTTGTGATTTCTATTTATGAGCACGTGCTTGCAAGTATTGTGAAAATGGCTATTTATTCCCCACAGACCCTGGATTCAGCAGCAGAAAGAGCTATTTGTACAGCTATGAAGGTTGGGTGTTGAATGGGCTTCAAGAAAAAAGTTTAGCCAAAGCCGGCGTGCGCTTGAGCAGCAAACTAGAGATCAGTGGGCTGTCAGAGGACACTTACCTCCTCAAGGTACCGCGTCTTCTTCCAAATGTACTATGCAACAGTGAACTATAAATCATGGTCACAATTGCACCTGGCTAATCCGTGATTCAGGAAGGCTGTAGGATACACAACCGGAGGCTTAGCGCTGTAGATGTCAGAGAATGATCTGCAAGCTGAAGTTGCAGAAGTGACGAGTGATTGGCATCCAGTCACTCACCGGTGTCTGTTGTGGAAATTGGTTCATAGCGGGTGTTCTTCAAGGCTTTGTGTCAAACAGAGGTGCCAAAATCAGGGGTTCTGTTAGAAAATGGTTATTTCTAACTCAAGGCACTGAAGCCTGCTCTGAGTTTCAGATTTGATTCTAGTCTCAACACACATTTCTGTGGGAAACCAGGACTTGCGTATGTAAAGTCATTGTCATGCAGGCAATTAATAAAACTAGACTTAAAAAGTCTAGATGAAGATAAAAGCTAAAGATTTTGACTTAGTTACAAAACAGAGCTGCCTCTTTGGGCACTGAGCTCAGTGACAGAGCTCTCACTGGTTGTAGTTGAGCTGTAGATCTTCTTTCACTGATGAGGGCAAGATGCCAAAACTATGGGCTAGGGATTGCATTTCGTACTATAGTCTTCATCCTGAAATTCTTACATGCGTGCACCAGGCTGTGCTCTGAGACACCTAAACTGGCAGAAGCTTTGCCAAAGTTACTAAAATTGTTTCTGATTTACATTGTGTCTCAGTATGGGGGAAAGAAAAGGTTTATAAATACATTTGGGTGGATTTAAGCAATTCACAAATATGAATCAAATAAAACAACTAGATCAGTAAAAAAAAAAAATTGGAAGGGGACGAGTTAAAATGAAACCTTCTGAAACAATTGTTGGGTTTTTTTTTACTTTTAGAATGATAGAAACTTTTTAAATGCTAAATTTCATCTAAATAAGAATATTTATATTAAGGCTGAAAAAATAGGGAGAATTTTATTTGAATTTTTTAAATTGCTTTCTGAATCAGCCTTTCTCCCTATAGAGTTAATGCAAGTAGAATGTTTAAAATGTCCTTGAGAGATAATCGCGATATGGTAACTGCTTCTGTAAGATGAAATAACACTGCTGAGCCCACAGGGTTCGTACTGATTTTACAATAGTGTAAGCAAGAGACAAAGCAATAAACAGCTGTATGAATTGCTAAGCCTATATTTGGAAGGAAAGCATATCGAACTAGTGATTACGTTAATTTCTTCCAATCAGTTTGCATATTTAGTACCAGAGTAATTTTATTCACATAAGTATGTCTTCTTAATTTCTTCTCAGATCCGCTCTCCACAATTTGAGGAATACAATGGCATCTGGCCCAGGGACCCATTTACTCGATCTTCCAAAATCACCCAAATGGTTTCTTCATGTTTTAGCCGGCCCTTCAAGTTTGAGTACAATAGTGGACGGATTGGAAACATCTATGGCCCAGAAGACTGCCCCGATATGTGTATTAACATAGTGAGAGGAATACTGAACATGATACAGATAACCATTAAAAAATCACAGAATGTGTATGAATTGCAAGAGGTTTGTTTTTTCCATTCTGAAACTACTTTGCTGAAAGGCTGTGTTCTCTTTAAGTGCTCTTCCTTCAAGTTGCTGTTTATTTGCATCTAGTTTCAAATTTTCATCATCTAAAAGTCAATTTTTATTCACATGGAAGAAAATGTGTGCATATATGTTGAATTAATTACCTGAGCTGGATTCTTTTTAAGACATCGGCCTTTAAGACTTAAAATGCAGTCCTTTGAAGAAAAAAGAAATATTAGCTATGAATGTATTTGTTATATAGCTTCCCTGATACAGCTACTTGAGCTATTTTATTTGTTTATTGTTGATATTGATTACTTTTTCATTTTAAACTCAGTCCCCTGACTGAGTATTGTTCACATGTCTATTTTTTAGTTCAATAGGATTAATTGTGAGTAATGGTTTCAAAACATAATTAAGACTGTTCAGTAGGTCCTCACCCTCCTACTGCTCCTTCAGAATCTTCATTCAATAAAACTTCTTCTCACGCAGTGAAATCCTGATATAATTGGGAAGTCTCATTATCTCTGTCGGTGTGCACAGGCTGGAATTGGAGGAGTTTGCCATACAAGGTACGTCATCCAGGAAGACAGGAAGAACAGCCGAGTCACCGTTACCAAAACCGTAGACCAAAATAATTGCCAGGAAAAGGTGTTGAAGCGTGTTGGAATGGCTTACATCTATCCTTGTCCTGTTGACATGATGGTACGTGAGATGTGAAAAGATCTTCTAATTACAAGCACGGCCATTGTGTTCCCATTCACTCTTTGGGTTCCTCTGTCCTCCTCCAGAAGGGAAGGCTCATAAAAGGGACTGCGGTTTTCTCCTCCAAACTGAAGCAGTCAGACAGTGGTACCCTCATCACAGAGGTGGTGTCGCAGCAGGTGTATCAGATCTCACCACTCAGTGAACCTACTGGTGTGGCTGTTATGGAAGCAAGGTAGGTGGGACGTGGGCTTGCGTCACAAAGTGAGAGTAATTAGAGATTTTGGCAGTCCCTTTCATCCCCAGTCGAAGTGAAATGAGAGTTGAGCTCCACAGCAGTTGGGTAAAGCTGGGAGTACTCATACTTGGGGTTTCCACACTCCTAAAAATTAAGTGAACCATTCTTTATTTGTACCCCGGTGAACTTGGCACTACAATCACATGGAAGAAAAGGAAAAAACCTCTTTAGCTCGCTTATACTGTAAGAATGCAACTTCACCACTCCGTCCTGAAAAAGGGTTAATTTATAGTGCCAGGAGGAAGATGATGCATATAGAAATAAGATCATTGATTACGCTGTCAGTAGCTCTCATTCAGAAGACAGAGGTTTAGTTCCTCAGAAACTATTTCGTTGTAGATAACTGTAGTACTATTTTGTTCCAGTTAGAAGGCTTTATCCACTAGCAAACTAAGATTTTACTGTGACGAGGAAAATGATTAAAGAGTGAAACTGGTACCATCACAGTATCACTGAACCACCAACAAGCCAAGGCAAATGGAGGAAGAGAGCTAATTAATTCCTCCCATCACATTTGTCTCTTGACAGACAACAACTCACCTTGCTCGAAGTGAGAAGTGAACGGGGGAGCGCCCCGGACATTTCCCTGCAGAGCTACGGAAGCCTTCGTTACCGCTTCCCGTCAGCATTGCCACAGATGCCGCTGCAGCTAATCAAGATGAAAAACCCCGAGCAGCGGGTATAGTATTTTTAGGTCTTCAAACTGCTGTCCTAATAGAAAAGTTAATGAAAGAGTGATGATCATAAATTCCAAAGAATGTAATTAGGTATGCCCTCTCTCATGTTTTGTAACAGATAGTAGAAACACTGCAGCACATAGTCCTGAATAACCAACAAGATTTCCACGACGATGTTCCATACAGATTCCTGGAGCTCGTGCAGCTCTGCCGGATAGCAAGTGCTGATACTCTTGAGTCCATTTGGAGACAATTTTCAGACAAACCCCGCTATAGGTATTTCATTATTTCATATAATTTTCCTTTTTTGGAGAATTGAGAGCTACAATTAAGGATTTTTTTTTTTTTAACCCGCTTGCAGGCGATGGCTGCTGAGTGCAGTTTCTGCGACAGGCACCACAGAAGCACTCAAATTCATCAAGAGCAGAATTCGCAGTGATGACCTTAACTACTTTCAGACTTTTCTAAGTGTTTCTTTTGCTCTCCACTTCATGAAAGCTGATGAACACACTGTTCCAATAGCAGCAGTGAGTAAATCCGTGTGAATCTTTCCCATCTGATAACAAAAGGAATGATAATTGATGACAACTTTTGATTATAAAGTACATTAGAGACTGGATTCTCCTCTCATGAACACCAATTTTGTGTAAATGTTGAACCATTAATTTCTTTTGGCACTGTACATACATGAGAGGAGACACAGTTCTGGGTCTTCATTTTGCTACATGGGCAATAAAAGCCATTCTCCCATAACAGCTTCTGAGAATAATTCCCATTTTAGTTTGCTGGGATCACGTCATGCCTTCTACAGACAAAACTTTGTCCACTTGAGTCTCTTACTTCTGAAACAAATGGTGATTTGCATATTATGTCATTTGAATAGCTCTTTTAATTGAAAACTATTCCTACAAACTAGAAAGTGTTGCAAGGGAACGTATTAGTGCAAACAAAATATTTTGACACTATAATGAATCATTTATTCTGAACAGGATTTTTCCCATCTCTAGTCAGTATTCTTCCTTCCAGGAAAAGGATATGATGTGAGAATGCATCATTAATATAATTGTTACACGTTGTTGTAAGGATATTCCATTTATAGATTGATGTTTACCCATAATTTTGTATTGTCAGTGTTATGCTCAGTTGAGGAAAATAAAACGGTGCTATATAAACTTACCTATATATGCTTATTTATACTCAAACTAGTGGGGAATTAAGTTCCTAAGTGAAGCTTGCAAATGAAATGTCTATGAGCTGATTTAATTTGTTTGGGTGTGAACAATAATCATTTTGAAACTGCTCCTGTCAGATAAGCTCTGATAATTTTTCTGCTCTGGAAGCTATGTGAAGCACTGTATTAAATACCAAATTAAATTTATTTTTTTTCCTCATAGGATTTAGTGACCAGTTCTCGAATTCAGAAAAGCCCCATGCTTCAGCAGGTTGCCTGCTTGGGATACAGTTCTGTGGTCAATAGATACTGTTCTCAGACCTCAGCTTGTCCTAAAGAAGCTCTTCAGGTGGGTAGCTTTGTCTCAGGTTGTTCTTAATAGTTTAGTAATGTTGATTACATTAGCTTAATTCTTTTAAGGCGCAGTATAAAAATGGTAATTGGACTTACAAACACACATTTCATAGGTCTCCTTCAGAACAAAGGCAATGAATCATTTTGCTAATGTAGATATTTGCTTCATCGCTGAAAACACATTTTCCACATTGTAAGGTAAAATCCTGAGAGCCATTACTGCGTAATCTTATTAAAACCAGTTGGTTTATTGCGATAGGCTTTTCAGTGGGTAAGGGGAACACTGTGGACATTCTATACATTAGGAAGAAACGACTGAACTGTGCTTTGCCTATAGCCCATCCATGACCTGGCAGATGAAGCAATCAGCAGGGGCCGTGAAGACAAAATGAAATTAGCTCTGAAGTGCATTGGTAACATGGGGGAACCAGCCAGCATCAAGCGCATCCTGAAATTCCTTCCTGTATCTTCATCCAGTGCTTCTGATATCCCCATTCACATTCAGATTGATGCCATAATGGCTTTGAGAAAAATAGCTTGGAAGGACCCCAAAACAGTAAGTATGATCTGTCAGATTTCTTTACTTACTGAATTAGAGAATATATACTGTACAGCATAATGCATTTAATGGTATCATGTCTGTGGATTCAGCATGTTTTTTAAAAAAAGGATTATTTTTAATAAGAGCACAATACAATTTGGTATTTCAGCTGATGTTTTCTCCTAAGCTGTAATAATTGTTAGTCAGTAGGAAGCTTCCAGAAGGATATCATCAGCGTTCCTTTAGTCATACTCCGGTGCTGGTTATATGTAATGGAAATTTAGCCACCTAAAAGTCAGACACATAATTTAGCCTGCCTCGACAGTCAAGAGGAGACACTTTCTATTGACCTCCTAGGTCACCATTGCTCTGCCTCTTTTAGACCCTTCCCTTCAGGCTGGATGAGTCAGCACTGATGTCCCGCTGAGGTTGCTGGCATGGTGAGCGTAGGCAAGGCTCCTGCCTTTCAGATAGTTTAGATATAGGAGCTATATGAGACAGCATCCACTCAGACTGTCTTTGTTGAGCTGTTGAAGCTCCCCTTTTAAAAGTGGTCTAAAATAGTGAAGCATGCTCACCAAGTCAGTGGGGTTACGCCAAGGAATGAATCTATCTTATTATCTACAATTGTTTTTTTTCTGAAGTTATTCACTAATCTCTGAATGTCAGTAATGCAAAAAGCTATGCTGATGTCTTTTTGATTGCGGTGGGTTGACCCAATACATTGATACACGGACATTTATTTCAGATTCAGTGCCCACCCTTCTGCATGGCCCCTTCAGTTGTCTTAATAAAACGATGTGGAACCATGCCGTAAGACCAGGAAACCTTTCTGCAGGGACAAGGGTCCCCTCTCCTGTGTTTCTTGTGGGTTATGTGTGGATCCAGTCTGCAAAATAAGTCTCAGTTATCGGTAATGCCGCCGCTGTTTTCTCGCCGCAGGTGCAGGGATGTCTCATTCAGATCCTTGCAGACCAGTCGCTTCCTCCCGAAGTGCGAATGATGGCTTGTGCTGTTATCTTTGAGACGAGGCCTGCCCTTCCTTTAATAACAACGATAGCTAACGTGGCAATGAAGGAGAGCAATTTGCAAGTGGCCAGTTTTGTGTATTCCCACATGAAAGCTTTGTCGAAGAGCAGATTGCCGTACATGTACAACATGTAAGTAGAGGCAGGAATGAAGTGGGCGATCTTCTGCCAATACTAAGTTCTGTCACATTCTTGTCAGCGAGCACTGCATGTGCTGACACGCTCGATTCAGTTTGTATCTTGACGGGGTGCAGCTTTTTTCTGGATATTATTACCTTTCTCGTTCTGCTCAGATCTTCGGCTTGCAATATCGCCCTTAAGCTGCTGGCCCCCAAACTGGACAGGCTGAGCTACCGGTATAGCAAGGTCGTGCATATTGGTGGTTACTTTGGTGAGTAAAAGCCTTTCAGTGACCAGGAGACTTTCACTTCAGAAATTCATTCTTAAGAGACGTGAAGTTTTTTGGAGAGATACGGCATTCTGTGTTGCAATAAGAAATTGAATTAAATGTGACAGTCACATGTTTAGAAGTACGTGAGTAGCCATTTATTAATTTGGGCCTAAACAGCTAATATTTATGTAATGATACATCTTCGACTTGGCAATGGAAAAAGCTGCAGAACTACAATCTTGAATGATAAGCAGGACGGTTAGAAAAAATATGTGTCTTTTGTTTACCTCTGCCATAGATAACTATAAAGTTGGAGCTGCTGGAGATGTCTTTATTATGAACAGCCCAGGAACGATGTTCCCATCCGCGGTAATTTCCAAGCTGATGGCATATTCTGCAGGGTCAGTGGCTGATTTGGTGGAGGTAAATAGTCACCTAAATCAATAATAAAGCAAATTAAAATTGAAGTTGACGACGGAGTTTCATCTCTGTGAGTATGTTTCAGACTGCTCCCCCTCCTGCTCTTTTGCCAGGCTGGTGTCCGTGTGGAAGGCCTCACAGACGTCATCATGAAACGAAATATCCCGTTTGCTGACTATCCCACATACAAAAAGATAAAGGAGATTGGAAAAGCTGTAGGTATTTTCAGTAGCGCAAGGTGCGGGTTACGTGAGCGGGTATCCAGGGAGGCTTCGCATACTAGTTAAGCCCTGCCTCGGGAGGCCCACGACCCGCCCGGCAGCCAGCTCGAGGGTTGCTGTGAGAGAGCTCTGCAGGGGCCATCGCTCCGGCCACGGTTGCGATGGCTTCTGCAAGTCCTCGCGCTGGCCCTGCCTCGCCCCCACCTCCTGTACGGCCGCAGAAGGAGCGTGGGAGGAGAGGGGGGAGGCGGGCCGAGCCGCTTCCTCCTCCCTCCCTTCGTCTACCTCGTTTAGTTTACAAGGACATACCCTTGTCTTCGGGTGAAAAAGGTGACTTGTTGCTGTGCTTTCAAACTGGGCTTAGTGGTACTAATGGCGCAGACCCTCCGCCCAAGTGTTACTGCATCAGAGGGCAAAACCCAGGGCAGGAAGCTATTCGTGGGCCTCTCGGTGGCAGGGAGGAAGTGGAATTAGCGGCCCTGTGCTGCCTGCAAAGCAGCAATAGAAGACTGCAGCTTGATCGGTGACGGGTTTGGTCACCCCGCTGAACTGTGAGTGTCACGTTAAGGAACTTCTGCTTGTTTCTGTATCTGCTCCCTAGCTGCTGGGGTGGAAGGAGCTGCCCGCAGAAACCCCCTTGGTATCAGCCTACGTGAAAGTCTTTGGCCAAGAGCTGGCCTACGTCAACATCAATAAGGAAGTCCTGCAACAGGCTATGAAGGTACCAGGGACGCCACTCTTCTTTGCAAGATTTGACACCGTTGTATTTTTATATCCCAACCTCTTGGATCTCTGTTTTACTGTAGACTGTGCTGGAACCCGCTGACAGGAACACAGTGATGAAGAGAATCGCCAGCCAAATCCGCAACGGCATTGCAGGACAGTGGACACAGCCGGTGTGGCTGGGGGGGGGGGGGGAACACAGTTCCACC